GGAACAGACAGGCCTTCACGCCCCTCGTGCCTCAATAAGCCTTGGGCGCCCATGACCCTGTCGCTGGTTCACCGGTTGTCTTTCCTTGGACCACTTTTGGTAGGTAGTAACCACTGCACACCGGGAACACCCCACAAGACCTGCTGTTTCGGAGATGCTCTGACCCAGTCGTCTAGCCATCACAATCTGGCCCTTGTCAGAGTCACTCGGATCTTTACACTTGCCCATTTTTCCTGCTTCCAACACATCAACTTCGAGACCTGACTGTTCACTTGCTGCCTAATATATCCCACCCCTTGACAGGTGCCACTGTAATGAGATAATTTATAATCCATATTATTCACTTCACCTGTCAGTGGTTTTAATATTATGGATGATCGGTTTATATATTTAGGGTTGTTTTTTTTTTCTTCTAAATATTCTAAACCTCACAAGGTTTTAAACATTTCCTTAAAATGTGCATGTAAAATAAAAAATATTAACCTTAAATAAAATATTCATTTAAAAAAAAAAAACATATAAAATATATATTTATATTCAGAATATATATTGAAATGCACTATTTCTAGTACTAAACTAATTTGTCATGTGATCACACAACAAACAATTCAACTGTTTAGAGCAGAAATCATATTTTATATCCGTTTTTATATACATTAGCTATATTTTTATTTTTTAATGTCTATTTTTTTTTAAGTCTTTTTCTCATTTGGTTTATAATGCTCCATCACAGATGGGTCATGATGTGGGAAATCCAGGTAAACAAGTTTACTTTGTGTGTACGTGCATGTGTGTGTGTGTTGTGCGAATAGAAGCGTATATTTGTGTGAACACACACTGTTCGTGAGCTGACAGGTGCAGGCCGAGGCGTAAAAAGATCAGCGTGGAAATAAACGAAACGTTCTGAGTGATTGGGGACGGCGCATAAAAAAACAGCAGGCGACGAGCAGATATAGATTACACAACTAAACAGCTGCACACATAAACACATAAAACACAGGGTTTATGAGGGAAATGTTGTTGATATCTAATAGCTAAAGCTAAAGCATAATCCAGTAACACACACACACACACACACACACATATACATATACATATACATATATATATATGCTGAAATATTGTTCACATATTTGTAAATCAGAACCAATTACACATCGTGTCTTTACATTATTTATATTAATCATCATGTATATTATTAGGCATTTTATAATAAATGTTATGAATATTTCTCCTAGGACGTCCTGTACTAAGGAGACTCGACTCCCGAACAGGATTATTTTGGACACTCGGGTTTCTAGGGCTCTTCGGCGTAAACTATATCCTCCCATGAGACATCTGTAGAGCTCAGAGTTGGCTGATTATAACGTAAGCGAACCTCCAAACATAATCCACAGGCGGCTTTACACCTCCTTATCCTGTCCCTTCTTTCTGAGCACACACCGTCTCCATTTCATTTACGTTACAGCGGGTATATTAACTGCTCTCGCCGCCTGCCGCTTTTCGAAGCTCTTTGCTTTACACAATTGATTCGCCTCGACTCGCCTTGTTTTCCTGGAAACGTTGTGTGTTTTGCTTGACTATGGTTAAAGACAATATCACAAAATCGATTTGAAGGCCCTCCAGGCGATCATTTCCATTCACAAGCTGGACTTTTCTCAAGAGCCACAACTTCTCTAACGCTTCTCGTTTTCAATTTCGCACATTCCTCTAGTGCATGTATTTTTATTCTCACAGAAGATTCTTACACACGATTCCTTTATTAAATGATTCTTTGTGACTTTTTTTCTCAATTCACTACATATTTATTTTCTCGCACACGATTCATTCACCTTCACATGTATTTCTTACACACGATTCATTTGTTTTCGCATGTGATTCTTACACACGATTCATTTATTTTCATGTGATTCGTTTGTTTTCGAATGTTATTTTTACATATGATTCTTTTTTTTTTTACATTTGATTCACAGACATGATTCTTTTATCTTCCATGTGATTCCTGCACATGATTCATTTACCTTCACATGTATTTCTTAGACATGATTCATTTGTTTTCAAAAATGATTCTTACACGATTCGTTTTCGCATGTGATTCTTACAAATGATTTTTATTTCACGTGATTCTTACACGATTCACTTTTCACTCATTTTACCTGCTCTATTTTTTTTACTTTATTTAGTTTTTATCTTAATATCATCCTTGTTTACACAGTATTTCTGTTTTTATTTCAACTCATTCTTGTTTTTTTTTTTTGTTTTTTTTTTTACAAACTCTATTTTTATGATTTCTGTTTTGGTTTAATCTCATTTTCTATTATTCTCTAACAAGAGGGCACTGAAATTAAGTAGATATTCAGGACACTAACTCAGTGTGTGTGTGTGTGTGTGTGTGTGTGTGTGTGAGAAACTGAAAATAGCTCATATCTCTTTTTATTTTTATTTCCAGCACTAAGAATTATGTTTCAGTGTTACAGCTCTCTCTGGCCTTCCCTTTCAAGATAGAGTTCCCTGATAAAAAAGGCCATCAGCGACACACACACACACACACACACACACACACACACACACACACACAGAGCTCTCTTTATCTCTCTCCTTTGTTCCCCTGGTCTCATAATGTGTTAAGGAAATGGCCACTTCCTGTTCATTTGACACGCCTTCCTGTAGTGCGGGATTAATCCATTCACGTATCAACTTTTATTTAATCCTGATATCATTTAGCCACGCCTCCTCCCTGAGTCTGATCCCGGGGCGCAGTGACACCAGACTATGATGCTGATGTGTCATGTGCACTATTTTTTTTTTAAGTACTGTACGATAATTGAAGCAGTTATACACTGTGATCAAACGTCTGAGCCTTCATGTGTTTAAATGCCTCAGATGGTGTGTGAACAGAATAAACAGATGAAAGTGTAACTGAACCCTTTATGTTAATCACCATCTCAGTCTCCGGTTTAATCAGCCGTGATGGCTCAGGCGTCAAAAGATTTACCGTCTTTACTACGGGCCTAAAAGAGGTCATCAAAATGAACGTCACACTTTCCACAGTTACGGGGGTCGCATTCAACGAGGAAATCTAATAACCGCACTGACTCTGAGGACCAGGAGGCCGGAATTCACAAAACAGACGTGTGATCTGCACAGGATTAGATACAGAGCTGCAAGTGATGACAGCAACAAATAACAGTGCCTTACACTCCCCGTCCACTTTATTAGGAACACCCGCACACAAGTCTATAGTAACTCAGATAATCACTCTTTACAGCCGTGCTGAGCAGAAAAGCATCCCAGAACACACAACACATCAAACCTTGAGGTGGGTGAGCGACAACAGCAGAAGACTTCTTCAGCTGTATGTAATGACACACAGATGTGGATTTTAATTCTGGACATCGAATTGAAATCGAATCGAAGTCGAATTGAAGTGTTTTATTCCGACAATATATAGATATTTTTTTCAAACAGGAACATCATAATTTTGCATAATTCTTTATAGTTGCATTTAATGTCGTGGAATATCCATGCGTATCCTGCGTAGAAAAGGTTTTTTTCAGTCCAAATTGAGTGCCAAGTCCTCAAACAAAGCCATTGTTCTTACTGCTTTTTAAGTTCTTTGAGGATTCAATAGATTCAGGATACACTTTCAATTCATATTTAAATCTTAGAAAGTGTTTTGCTAAATATTTTTATACCTAAATTCAAAATTTGGATTTACAAAGCACTTGATAAAATCACAAAGTCACACCAAAAATTCACTGTGTGAGAACAATTCCAAAATAAATGCAAAGTGGTTTCAGGTTTTTCTTTAAAAAAAAAAAAAAAAAAAAAAAAAAAAAAAAAAAAAAATTGGTCTTAATATCATTCTTAATTCTTTTGAGAGAGAAAGCACTTATCTGGATAAAATCTATGAATCAATTTAAAAGTAATTTCTTTCACTTTGTACAGTATTTTTGAGGTAAAATCCAAACCTTTCTCCAGGGAATATCACTTACAAAACCATTCCAGTAACAGGAATTCCATGCATTGCCATACTGCGTAGAAAAGTCCCCCAGGTGTGAACGCGTATCCGAGAGCACTTGTGGAGAACAGCGATTGGCTGATGATTTGAATGGCAGCACTCTCAGCCAATCACGATCGTACTCGGATGGAACATTCGACAATCCACACTGTAGCCGGATTCAACCGGAAGTAGGAAGTAAAAGATGGCGGCCCCTATGCACGAGTTTAAGAAACACGGCGCAATTTGTTTACAGTTTATCCAATTATCGCGACATTTTCTGAACAACGCCAAAGTTTATTTTCTTCTAGCTTTTCTACTTGCACTGACAGCCCGCTGTTCCGGAAATGACGACTTTCAGAGAGACGAATTTCTTAAGAGGGAGTACTCGCTGACCAAGCCGTACCAAGGTGGGAGAACGAGTCTGGTTGCTATTTTACCACTCGTTTTGATGACAAATCCCGCCTCCTTGTGCTGTGATTGGGCCATTGCTTTACACTCACAAGCAGTTCTCCAATCATAGCGCGAACGCTTGAATTCTTCTAGCCAATCACAGGGCAACAAGCGGAATACGGGTGGTTTTTTAAAAAATCGCTTTTTTTCAGTCTTAAAGTTAGTGAGCTTTGGCTACGATTTGTAACATGACTACATACAACAAGCACTTCGAGTTAATTGAACAACTTTGCGATTTTTATTTAGCGTTTATTTTTTTTGTGTGTGTAAAAGGTTTTGCAACTGCTGTAACCTACTGATTGGTGACTAGCTGCTAATATAAGCTAGATGGATCATTAAAATGTTGAAGGTTTCATATAAAGACTATGTTTTTGACTAAATATTACTGGGAAATGATCAGAATTAAAAATGAATCCCATCACGGCTATCCAGTCCAGGAAAAGGTCTCAGACAGGTAACAGTGTAATATATAATATATAATAATATATAATAATTATAATATAATATAATCAATGAATATAATCAATAAAACAATGAAGAGGGAGGGGTCATGATGGCTCAGTGGTTAGCGCGCTCGCCTCTCACCTGCAGGGTCAGGGGCTCGATTCCCGCTTCCGCCGTGTGTGTGTGTGTGTGTGTGTGTGTGTGTGTTAACAAAAAATGATTTATCCTTCACCTTGAATTGAGACGCCCTCCATTCATTATTTTCATACTTTCCTAATAATAATAATAATAACTTTATTTATCTAGGATTATCTGATACATTTCAAATGTAGCTTATTGTTTTTTTTCCCCACAAGATATTTTTTTTTTGTAGAAAATCTCGTGTGATTAAGAGGAAGTAAAAAAAAATGCATGTGCAATTAGTGTTACATTACACAATCTTTACTCACTGTGTGTGTGTGTGCGTGTGCGTGTGCGCAGGTCTGGGCTCGTCGAGCTCGTCACACTGGGATTTACTGGGCAACGCCATGATCACCCCCGAGTACGTGCGCCTGACTCCAGACCTGCAGAGCCGACAGGGTGCCGTGTGGAGCCGCATCGTGAGTGCGCTTCGTATATATAACAGGAGCAAAACACTCCGTGTCGTGCTGTTCTAGGAAAATAATCGACAGGATGGTGCGGTGGTGCGGGGTTACTGTTATCACCCTGAAGTTGATTATTTTCCTATAACAGCACACCCTGCTACAGCAATATGCCAATTATTACACGTTCTAATTCGTCAAAGAAAAACACTTTGTAAGTTTTTATCCATTTAGAGTTACATTTAAACTAGTTAGTTCCTGTTATCACTTTAACCCATCGTTCCTTAACCTATTTTCTTATTACACATGAACTCATCAGTATCATCTGACTGTGTTTATTAAAGACATGTATGTTGTCGTTTTTTTACCTTTAATGATAACTGTAATATCTCAGGAAAGTTGTTCTGTAAAATGTTATTTATAATAATTTTAGAAATAGTTTTGAAATAGTCATTGTATCAGACAGATATGATGAATGTACTTAAAAAAAAAAAAAAATCAAAAATGAACTGTATGAGTGGCGAATAATATTTCCAGAGAAATCTGTTCTTGTTTATATCGATTGTGTGTGTGTGTGTGTGTGTGTGTGTGTGTGTGTGTGTGTGTGTGTGTGTACGCGCGCAGCCGTTTTACATTCGAGACTGGGAGCTCCAGGTGCACTTTAAGATCCACGGCCAGGGCAAGAAGAACCTGAACGGTGATGGACTCTCGCTGTGGCTGACCAGAGAACGCATGCAAATAGGCACGTTGTTGTTGTTGTTGTTATTATTATTATTATTATTATTATTTAACTACTATTAATTCTTTTTAACTACTATTTCTTTTATTATTCTCTTTAACCACTTTCCACTGAAACAAGCGGCTATTCGCTGTAATACGTTCTCGTTTCTATAGTAACCGCTTAGACAGAGATTTGTACCGTCGATATGCTGATGATTTCTGTAAGGAGACGTTTATTTGGCATTTAAGGAAGGAGTCTCCAGTGTCAGCTCTTTGTATATAAAAAAAAAAAAAAAAAAGGATGACAAAAATTTGCTGTGGGATGAGAGGAATGAAATAGAATCTACTGCATTTTTATTGCATTTTGCTCAATTACAGTTATTGATTAATTAATTCGTTATTAATTAATTACTAATTAATCAGGCACTCAAACAGAAGGTGACCTTTACGCATTTTTCCCCCCCTTTTCAGACAACTTGTAATAAATAAACGGATTAAAATGGACGCTTCCGAATGCTGATGTCTGTGCTGATTCGTTTCAGGCCCCGTGTTTGGGAACGTGAATCATTTCACCGGCCTGGGGATCTTTATAGACACGTATCCCAACCACGAAAACCAGCATGAGGTATATGAGCTTTGTGCCTACGCCGTTGGTTTCTTCGTCAGCTCTAATGTACTGACACAAGCGTGTTTAAGTGCGTGATCGGGTTTTACTATCACATCTACATCTTGAGTGTGGAGAGAGAGAGACTCTACAGTGTCTTTCTTAGTTAACGGCTTTAGATGATCAACGTCGTTTCTGTTATTGCGACTGTCACTATATTTATCACGTCTTCTTCTTCCTCCTGTTCTGGTTATTGTTCTCTCTGCGCGTAGAGACTATTTCCGTTTATTTCGGCGATGGTGGGAAACGGGACGGTGGCGTACGACCACGATCAGGACGGAAGGAACGCGGATCTGGGAGGCTGCCAGGCCGCCGTGCGCAACGTCGACTATGACACGTTCATCCTGGTCAGATACGTAAAGAGCACTCTAACGGTAATCACACACATAAATGAGCCAGGTTTCTTCCTCTATATAGTGTTTGCACCCAAACTCCCGAAGAGTCCCACTGGGGGGCGTCATGTGACCAGCAGTTAATGCATGTTATAGTTCATGTGCTCTATATACAGCCACATGCCAGTGTCATAATTAATAACTCAGTAATGTGCAGTAAACATCACTGTTTGCATAAAATGGAGTCAGAGAGGAAGGGCATATTACAATTTCATATTTCAGCACACAGACTACAGGGACACACTACTTAGTATATGACTATGCAAATGGCTGATATGACAAATCGTGATGGCTAAGGTAATGGAAAACCACCCTGACATCCAGCTTTAGTAAAAGTCGCACGGCAACGCTGGTCCTGGATCAGAGTACACAGCGAGCTTAGGAGAGGTCAGTGCGTAATGTTTCATTTTAAACGCCTCGCTCCTCCACAGGTGATGATGGACGTAGAAGGGAAGCAGGAGTGGAAGGAGTGTTTGGAGATCCCGGGTGTCCACCTTCCGCAAGGGTATTACTTCGGAGCCTCATCGCTTACTGGCGATCTGTCAGGTTTGGATAGACGGTTTCTTTAAATTGCTCTAAAATGACACAATGATTTTATTTTTCTGCGTATGCCAACTTGGAAGGACGTTACAACACAGAACTGAGCTACCACTTCCCCAGTGGTCAAAAGTGGCGGTGTCTGATTTAGCCCACAGTGTTTGCGGTGTCTGATTCAGTCCACCGTGTTGATGCTGTCTGATTCAGTCCACAGTGTTTGCGGTGTCTGATCCTGTCCATAGTTTTGGCACTGTCTGATTCAGTCCACCATGATGACAGGGCCAGATTCAGTTCCCTTTATTGGCACTGTCTGATTCACTCCACTGTCTGATTCACTCCACTGATTCACTCCACTGTCTGTTTCACTCCACTGTCTGATTCACTCCACTGTCTGATTCACTCCACTGTCTGATTCACTCCACTGTCTGTTTCACTCCACTGTCTGTTTCACTCCACTGTCTGTTTCACTCCACTGTCTGTTTCACTCCACTGATTCACTCCACCATATCAAATTGGCTAATTATCTGTCTTAATTGCTTCGAATTCACTTAATAATCAACTCTGTGCTGTCTGATGGCAGATAACCATGACCTGATCTCCATCAAGCTGTTTGAGCTGACGGTGGAGAGAACTCCCGAGGAACTGGAGAACGAGCAGGAGGTCACGATACCCAGCGTGGACTACCGAGAGATTCCCGGTAACAAACGTTAACACCGTGTATAATAAGTAAAGCTAGTTAGTGATATTTTAACCCACGGTGTGGTGCGAGACTTCCCCTATCGAGACAGGCCCTATCTGTGGTGAGTTCCCATGAATCTTTAATTTAACCAGAGATTTTAAATAAATGGAAATGAAACTCAGAACCACGGTTTCTTCCTATTTTAAGACGCTGATGAAGCAGTAACGTCGAGCAATGAGGACAGTTTTATTGTAGATAAAGGGTCCAGATATCCTTTACATGTGAATGCACGTTGTCATATATCATAAGTCAATGATATGAACTTTAACCCAGCTATGACGCTAAATTAATTTCAGAATAATTATAAAGATGGTGTAGTACATTGTAAATCGCCCATGAGAGCAGCAGTCACACTCTTATTGCACCCTTTCTGTTGCAGTGGAGGTGGTGGATGAAGGCATGAGCATGCTCACCCTCCTCTTCCTGTTCATCTTCTCTGTGGTCGGCCTCGTGGTGTTCGTCGTGGCGTTTCTCTTCATCTACGCGCGCTGGAAGGAGCGCAGCCGCAAGCGCTTCTACTGAGAGAAACGGAGGGTGGTTTTTTTTTTTTTGGCGTTCTGAAGTTTCTTCTCACTGCTGCACCTAACTGACGTTACCTCTGACACCGAAGAGCCATACGAGAGAGAAAACGGCCTCGTCCGGATCCTCTCGTTCATCTACTAAAGTTTATAGGATATTTGAATATTGCTGCGGAAAGAACAAAGTGCGAGAGTGCGTGCGAGTGTGTGTGTGTGTGCGTGCAAGTGCAAGACACAGATTTGATCCTGAACTGCATATACATATTACAGACCTAGATAGACAGCATTGTTTATGATGTAGTGTGTGTGTGTGTGTGTGTGTGTGTGTGTGTGAGTGTGTGTGTGTGTGCAAGCGAGTACATGTGGGTGTGCGAGTGTGTTCGAGATGTGTTCCTGATTTGGACATGCATATTACAGACCAAGATAGGCAGCTGCATCTGCACTAGTGAAGCACACACATCAGAGAGAAGATCTCTTTCTCATTTTGTTTTTGGTTTTCTACGTGAAATTTCTACGTTTTTTTTTTTTTTTAACCAAGACATTTTTGATAAAAGATGCAAAAAGAAATCACCGTCATAAACTTAGTCTTAAAAGAATTCATTTTTGGAGGGAAAAATCGAATCGAACACGAACACGGCTAAGTATTCTTCAAGAAGTGCTGGAGAAGAGGTTCATACGGACCCTTACACGTGTATCTCACACACGAAACGAGTTTTGTCGCAGGGAGACATGACGCACTTCGGTATGCTCGCCTCCGTATTGCGTCCGCTTCATTTAGTTCAGAGAGTGGCTTGGCGGTGCTGCGTATAGAATCGAATCGGGTTTTGAGGTCTTTAATATGGATATCTATAAATCTGCGTGCACACACACACACACACACACACACAGAGCCTGACATCAACCACGAGCTGAACTATAAAAGTGTATGCGTGGGTGCATATGCATATATGTGAAATACTCTTTAGGAATATATTTTTTTTTTTTTTTTTACGTCCTTAAACTTTGTGCCATTTTACACAAAATAC